TTTTGCGGCGATATTCCCAGTTGATTAAGAACTTTGTTCGCGATTTCGGCGTACATATCCTCAATCAATACTAACGCCTCGCTGTAGATTCCTGCTGTGCAAGCCACATTTGAATTTTCCTTGCATAGTTGACAGAAGGTATCTTCAGCCATCTGCAAATTCTATTTCTCCGGTAAATCTGTTGGAGATGAGGAGATAATGCGGTCAACATTATTGCAAACAATGCATGAATTTTATGTGGATGGGACGTGTTGCAGGCGTCATTAATATATACGTCCCGCTGTTGATCGTTATCCAGTAACTGAAAAGCCTGACGCACACTGCTGAAAGTGGCATGCGTAGCGGCGTTGACAGATTTAAATTGCTGGAATGACGTTAGACGTGGCACATTCATCAACACCATGTGAAGTAAGATTGTGATGCACGGTATGCAGTCTGCCAATCGCAGTTCCTTTGAGTATGCCGGGTTGTTTGTCCACTCGCTCTCCTCGTTTGCGCTGTTCGGATGATTTTCTACGCACATTCCCTGTGTAATGCATAAGCACTTCCGAATGCGGCAGTGGTTTCGCAAACGCGTCACTTTTGCTTAACGTGGAGAACGCAGTTGATATTGTTGCCAGTGGACCTAAGGCAACCTGTTGCGCATTTTTGCATCGGTGAAGTAAACGCATTGCCAATTCTCTAACTGTGCTGCAAGCAAACAACACCTGGACTTCGCTCATGGACGGGGGATGGAAGAATTCACCACATGGATTTCCTACCGTTAACGCATTTTCCAGCCCCATACTGTGCGATTTCATCGTGTTGTATGTCCGCATCCCTTAATCTCCTTTCGTGTTGCAGTCCGAAAACGGGCATGTCACTGCTTTTATTCACGTTCTTCCAAATGTACCTAATTCATTTCCCGGAATTGCGGTTTTCCACGTTTATGTGAGCTTCGTTTGCTTTTAAAATCAAAGGCGAATACGAAACAACCCAGCGGTTACCGACTTGTACGTCACCGATTCGCATTCGTACGGTTGTCCATTTGCCGACGTCTTTCCCTGATCGTTTTCATCGCCGCGACTGCGTGCAAATCATTGTCGACGCCGGCGTCAGATAATTCAGCGCATATTTCATCGGCGATGTCGTTGGAAGTGATCTTGTTGTATAGCCAGATCCAGGCATGTGCGTGGGGCAGTCCCCATCTTTTGCCATTCCCCATAATACATCCAGCAGCTCACAGACCCAAACACCTCGCGTTTCACCATGAAGTTTGTCAGCGATTTCAGTTTCTTCTTAAAAACACGTGCTGTGATGTTATACCTATTCACTGGCGATAGCCCAGGAAGTAAGAGCTGACAGATATCCCCCCAAACTGGATTGCATGTGAATGTAATGAGTAGGTCTGGACGCCCGTACTGACAGACATAAGCAATTGCACCTCCAGCGTATCCGAGCATATGGCGTGGACTGTCTGTGTATGTGGAGGACAAAATCAGTAGCCCTACAACGTTAGTTGTATTACTGTCGTTTACAACTGCATCATGC